CTTCCTATCTTGAGTACTTTATGCCTTAGCTAGGTTCATGTTAGTTGAATTTGAAATATCCCCTTTGAGTCTTTTGTTGAGAAAGTGGATAACTATGTGGTGTGGGATTATTTTAGGTCAGCTGGATGGTGGCTGGACAAATTTAATTACACTGCTCTTCCTTATTTGTGATATTATTCATTTCACATCATGAGTTGATATTTCATCTGATGCTCATCTTTCTTTGTGCATGCACACCCATAGTATTAAACTAAGAAGTGGTTTGGTTTTTGCAGCAATTAGTAATTTATGAGACATCAGCTTCAGAGCTGGATATAATTCGAGATATATCCCGTACCTTCCCTTCACATGTTTTCTTCCAGCAGAGACATGGTCCTGGTCAAAGGTCCCTCTACAATGTTTTGAAGGCATACTCTGTCTTTGACAGAGAAGTTGGATATGTTCAGGTTTGAGACTTTCTGTTTGTTCGCTGTTGCACTTAATTTATGCCAGACACTGGATAATTTTAAATGGTTAAAAGAATGCAGGGAATGGGGTTTCTGGCTGGTCTATTGCTTCTTTATATGAGTGAAGAGGATGCATTTTGGTTATTAGTCGCATTACTCAAAGGAGCAGTCCATGCACCAATGGAAGGTTTATATCAGGTAGCCTTTTTGTTATATGAATGTCTTGATCTTATCTTTCGGAGTTTGTAGACTAATTAAGTGTAATCATGCGTGCCATATTTATCGAAAAAGAAGAATGTAGTCCGCTACTTTGGTCGTATGGTACATTTCCTAGAATTAAGAGGAAAACAAAAATGCCAATGACATCAGATAATGCCTAGTTTGAGGTTTGAGGATTTCATTCACATTCATTTTTATCTATTTGGGTTATGCGTAGTTTGTTCATTTATTATATTCAAAGCCTGATTTATTGTTTTTTATTGAAAAAGTGGGGAATAGAAATGGAGAAAATGGCTTCATGCTTTGGTAATTGTTAGTTTATGCTTGTCATGTAGGTAGGGCTACCACTAGTACAACAATACCTTTTTCAGTTTGACCAGTTAGTAAAGGAGCACTTGCCAAAGATGGGAGAGCATTTTACTCAAGAGATGATAAATCCTAGCATGTATGCAAGCCAGTGGTTCATAACCGTTTTCTCCTATTCTTTCCCATTCCATTTGGCTCTTCGAATTTGGGATGTCTTTCTCTACGAGGTTAGCTATTTCTAATGTGTTATATATCTCTTTGGAAGTACTAGGGTTTGGATTTCAACTTAAACTTGATCTATTATTTTTTATTTTTACAGGGTGTTAGAATTGTTTTCAAAGTTGGTTTGGCCTTATTAAAGTATTGTCATGACGACTTGGTGAGTATATCAGGATCCCTTTCTGCTCCAAATCATGATAACTAGAATATTATTTGCTCATAGAAATTTTTTTTCTTTTCAACAGATAAAATTACCCTTTGAAAAACTTATTCATGCTTTGCGTAACTTCCCTGACGATGCAATGAATCCTGATACGTTACTTCCAATGGCTTACTCAATCAAGGTTTTTCTTCTGCATAATTGTTTTTCATGAATGATGATGGTTGAGGTGCCAATGTTGTAATTTTCTCATCATTCATGTGTATGTATGTCTTTTGGTTGATCTCTAGGTATCCAGGGGTTTGGAGGAAACAAGGCAGGAGTATGAGAAGAAGCATGGAAAGATCAATCAGTCTACAGAGAATGAGAAACAGTTGCAATGAAGGTTCTGCTCATCTGATGGGAGCTATGCTGATTCTGATTAACTTGTCATTCTTTAGTTTTAGGACATCGCAGCAATAACCAAAAGAATAGCACTGATAACGTTTGTCATCATATTAGATGTTTATGAACTCCCCTATTCCCTGTTACAAACCCAAAATCTTAGATGTAAATATATATTAACATTGCTAAAGTTGCCAACTTCTGAACTAGGAGGCCTCAAGCCCCTTGACATCCTCCTAAACTGTTGAATTTCGTTGTGGTGTCCTTCATTTACTATTTATGCTTTCGTACCTTCATTTGGGAGGCTAAACCAAACATAAGATTGGATTAGTGTAGTCTACTCCAGTCCAATGTGGTCCAATGTTATTCAATCCATGTCACCAAACGGCCCTTAGACACTGTCAATTGGGGGCTGCTATGGAAGCCCTGTTTATATTTTCTAGCGAGGATTTTTGTTAAAGTAACGCTGGCGATTTTGAACCATTGATTAAAATTTATAGTCATAAATCACTAAAGCCCGGGTGATTCGCCGAAGCATAAGTTTTTTTTACCCTCTAGCAAACATAAATATTCTCCACCAAATAAAAACTCTTGTCAGTTCCAATTCCAAGATGCTAAAACAGGAATTTGCTTTTGTTTTTGGCCATAAGAAAAGTTTGATACCAAAATAGTCATGAGCAAGAAAGAAACCCACAAGACCACGGCAATTGATTGACATGCATTCGGTGCTTTTGAGGTGTTATGGTTGTTAGGGGGTGGGGGGGGTCAATTTTCGAACCCAAAAACAGCATCAATCAATAATACTCGCACAACTGTCTCGCATGCAAAGCAGCCACCTCTAATTTGATACGTAATTGAGTAGGTCTTTTTTTGGCTTTAACTCTGTGTCTATATGGACTTAATTTGGTGTTAAGTTTCCCATGTTTTAATGAACATAGGCCCCTTTTGTGTGTGTATGATTTTCTTTTGAGATCAATGTCTCGTTCGAAAGTGATTTTGAATAGGGCATAATTATTTTTAGGGTGAATCACCTTTCACGTGTTTCTTTATTTTAAGTGAGTTTAAGTGATTATGGGGGAAAAATATATATATCCTTCATGTGCTTCTCCATAAAATCACTTAATGCCACGTAAAGCAATTATATTAATAAGTGATTTTTGACTTATCCAGAATCACTTTAAAACGAGTCCAAAACTAATAATTAGTGGGAGATAAATGACTTCAGTAGGGTCAATGCCCCACCCTCTCTTTGCCACTCGAGTTTTAATTTTTTTTATTCCAGAAAATATGAAAAGTTGATGAACCACATAACTTAGGTTATTGAGAGGAGGTAGTGACCCTCAAAACAACAATTGTTAGATATCACCTGTCATCTTATTAAACACTGTGACTACACGCGTAACCCCAACGATTGTTGTCTATTCAAACCATATATGGTAAAGTAACTTTTGAGTTGACATATGATGTTATTTCCTTTTGCATATGATGAATCTCAATCCTATTATTTCTTTATTTATTTCTTTTTATTTTCTATATATGCTTTAACTCCCATAACACAGCAGGTGCATTGTATGTGAAAAACACAAACTAAATAATATATTTTATAATAAAATAAACTAAGCTCTTCGTGCGCGTTTCTACTTCTGTGAGAGGTTTTTTTTTAAAAAAATTTAAATTTATTTTAGAATTTAAAAAATAATGAGTAATTGTCTTCCATAAAAATAGAATCTATTGTTTAATTTTTTTAATATGAAAATTTATCATATTATCTTCATTTAATTAATAATTTCAATTCTTAATATTTGCATTAACTAAAGATATTTTGTTATATATAGATTTGAAATCGTGCCTTTTTAGAGAAGATAATTAATAAGATAAAAAGGCAAAAAAATTCCAATTGATTATTATTTTTTGGAGGGTCCAAGTACATAGAATAGTAATTGAATTTGATATAAAAGTGGAGGAATATTGACATGTGGGCCCACGCAGCCATGTAAGACAAGCGTGAAAAGGATCGAGAAAAGGAAAATGACAAAAAGAACCAGCTCACAGCATCAGTCTGGTCCCTCTCTCTACGTGTAGTTGATTCACATCCACACCCTCTTGTCGTACCGCCACGTGTGATGCTAATCCATGATCGTCCGCATCCAATCCTAGCGTACATACCGGTGAGTCTTCCGTACGACGTCGTCTCTCTCTCTCTCTCTCTCTCGGGTCTTTCGAAACATTTATTCCATGACGAAATGTCTATGATGCCCCCACGTGCCGGCTCAACTTCCCATCCGCGCAAACACGGAGGGGTAGTATCGTCAGAAAAAAAACAAATACAGGAGGTTGTGAGTTGGAGAGCAAATCCAGATGGAAACGGAAGGACATGACCGTAATTAAACGCAATTCCCGTGGCAAACACGGCTCAGGGATGCTATATAAACGACGTTCCCTATGGTTCTCAACCTTCACGAAAACAACGAAGCACCGAATTTTGCTCTCCCATTTTTTTCGTGAACCTCAGGTTTATTTTAGGTGCTTGTGCGGACTCTAGGTATAATTAGGGTTTCTTCAGCCTCTTCCTTCAGATCTTCGTCTTGGTCCCAAGTTTTCGAATCTGAAGGTTGTGGTATGATTCTCCTCTGGTTCTTAGTTTTGTGGATTTTGTTCATTCCATTCTGTGTTTTTGTCTAATTATGATCTTTGATTTCTTTCGGTTTCAGGTAATTGATTTAGAGATTTAGAAAGGGATTCTCGAAGGAGATTGTAGGTTTGATTCAGAAACTTCAAAACAATTTGTAAGTGTGCTTCCTTGGCCCTGGTTATTATTTCGTGGACAGTTTTGCCTATTGGTTTGATGTTATGGGGAAGAAAAAAGGTTTCTTTTTTATGTACATGAAAAAGATTATGTCAAGGTTTTGCTTTTGTTATTGAAATATGCAGAAATGAGGATTTTTAATTTATTATTGTAAGGAAAGAATGAAGATTTTGTTAGGAATGTAAGCAATTCTTTGCTTTTGATGCATGGTTCCCTTTTCCCTGTTCAACAAATCACAATGCTTGGTTGTTTCTAACTTGTTGAACACGGATTTTGTTTTTCTGGATAATTCCGTAAAATTGTTGATGGAGTTGTATGCTTGGATGTACTGGCTTTGTTGAAATTAGATTCTAAGGTTTCTGGTTACTATTCTTTGCTGTTATATCGCAACTGCCTTTTCATGTCATTTGCAAAGATGTCTCCTTTTGGTGCTAACGCCCTTGGTCTATCGTTTTTGCAGGAAAAAAACTGAATGAGCTAATGGAGTCGAAGGGCGGCAAAAAGAAGTCTAGTAGTAGTAAGTCATTATTTTACGAAGCTCCCCTCGGTTACAGCATTGAAGACGTCAGGCCTCACGGTGGAATCAAGAAATTCAGATCAGCTGCTTACTCTAACGTAAGTTTTACTGTTTGTTTCTGGGTGCATGTAATTTCTGGTTTGTTTTGTATGAATGGCCTTCTAATATTACCTTATACTGTTCTCTATGCAGTGCGTCCGCAAGCCATCCTGAGTTCTGCTAAGTCTAGACATAACCCCGTGCGATCGTTAATACTGCAATTTTACTTTAGCTCTAGTCTGTTTCTCTTTCCTACTTCTCTCGTTCTCTCTCGTACTTGTTCCCTCGCTAGTTCTCCTTTTATCTGCTGTTGCAACGTTATTTCCTTCCTTAATTCGAGATGGCTGTACCGGTCTCTGCAATTGGATTTGAAGGCTATGAAAAGAGGCTCGAGGTCTCATTCTTCGAGCCTGGACTGTTTGCTGACCCTGCCGGCATGGGTCTCCGTTCTCTGTCGAAAGATCAATTGGATGAGATTCTGAAACCAGCTGAGTGCACCATTGTTTCCTCACTCTCTAATGATGATCTGGACTCTTATGTCCTTTCGGAATCAAGCCTCTTTGTGTACCCATACAAAGTCATCATCAAAACCTGTGGAACAACAAAATTGCTTCGATCAATCCCTGCCATCCTCAAGTTGGCTGAGACTCTCTCCTTGGCTGTAAAATCAGTGAGGTACTCTCGTGGGAGCTTTATATTTCCTGGTGCCCAGCCCTCTCCACATCGTAGCTTTTCAGAGGAAGTAGCTGTCCTGGATGGCCATTTTGGCAAGCTTGGTTTGGCAAGCAGAGCATATGTTATGGGTGGCTCTGACAAAACACAGAAATGGCATATTTACTCTGCATCGGCAGAGTTGGCAAGCTTACTTTGGGGCGCACGCCAATCAGGACCCACATACACATTGGAGATGTGCATGACTGGTTTGGACAGGAAGAAGGCATCTGTGTTTTACAAATCAAACGCAAGTTCAGCTGCTGGTATGACTGAAGAATCTGGCATTAGGAAGATCCTCCCCCAGTCTGAAATATGCGACTTTGAGTTTGAACCTTGTGGTTACTCCATGAATTCGATTGAAGGGAATGCAATTTCTACCATCCATGTGACACCAGAAGACGGTTTCAGCTACGCGAGCTTTGAAACAATGGGATACGACTTCAAAAATGTGAATTTGACCCAGCTGATTGACAGGGTTTTGGATTGTTTCAAACCGGCTGAGTTCTCCGTAGCTTTGCATACCACCAGTACTGCGGGCGAACAACTCAACGTTAAGTTCCCCCTGGACGACTTGAGGGGATACTGTTGCGGAGAAAGCAACTATGAGATGCTGGGTTTGGGTGGTGCTGTCATCTTCCACAGCTTTGTCAAGGATGCAGGTTCCCAGTCTCCGAGGTCAATTCTGAAAGGTTGCTGGAGCGAGGACGAGAAGGACGAGGAAGTTGAAGAGATAGTTATGGACAAGATCTAGTGTTCTATTGTTTGTGTTTAGTAGTAATGAATAAACAAAATGTGACGTGGGGTTATGTTTCTCTTATATAGTAGGGTAATAGTTTGTCATGCAAAATGTGTGTTGCTGCATTTTAGTCTGCTATTTTGAATAAAGAGGATCTCTGGTGAAAGAGATCCTTGATCCTTGACTTCCTGATGTAGGAAGTCTTGTTGAAGTACTTTTATGAGATGAAAGTTAATTTCTTGTGTTATCCGTCCGCTCTCTCTCTCTCTCTCTCTCTCTCTCTCTCTCTCTCATATTCTCAAGGGCTCCTTGGCATATATTCATTTCTTGCTCCAGGAAGTCTTGTTCAAATACTTTTATGATATGAAAGTCAATGCGGACCATTTGAACGAGGACCATTTGAACGAAACCCTAATTTCTTGTGTTGTACGTTTATGCTCTCTCTCTCTCTCTCTCTCTCTCTCTTACCCAATCAAGGGCTCCTTAGAATATATTCATTTCTTGCTATCAAAAGAAAAAATCTGCAGCATAATGATATGAATCATATGCGGTATGTTGTGGTTTCTTTCGGTCACAATGCCTCTTCTAGTTTGCAGTGTCTCATTCAACAAATGAAGAAAGAAGTTCATTTTATTCAACAAATGAGGAAAGAACATTTTATTCTAAGCATTGACTGGTGCCTACAACCTTCTGGCCGATCGAATATGCTCTTTAGCATATCTCACTTTTCAAGTGTGGATTTGTGTAATTTTGCTCAGCTTCATAGTCAGCACATGTCACTGTCCAATGTTCTTGCCTATGTAATTTTGCTACTGATGGTCTCTATGCCTTTTTTTTGGGGGGTGGTAGAAATTTGTTAGGCATATGATGGAAGAGGTCAACCATTCCAAAGAAAAGCAATTTCAAATGAAGTAGGAGAGATCAACCCTGCCAAGTTTGAACCAGAAAGCATCAAGCATACGATGATGGAATAGGTCAATTCATTGCACGTGCTTAATTGTCTTTGCAGAGAAGCTGCCATCCCCCAAAATAGGGGTGCTCGTTCCAGTCAATTTCTTTTGGCGGCAATTTTGACTTTTAAGAAAGATGGCATTCAAATTGAAAACAGTGACCTAAAGAGGTCCCAATTGTTTCTGCATTTCCGGTCAATGAATTCGTATGTCACTGTGAAAGTTGGACGTTCTCTCAAAAAGAATAACAATGGATATATCAATTACACTTGTTGTAACCAAGCGGGAAAAGCAGTATTGGGAGAACAATTGTCATGCAATACGCATTATACTATTCATGGCTTAATATTCAGAAAAGAGCAATTTGATTCATGGCTGTTCTTCATACAGACTATCAGGCATTCAGTATGGTCGAAACTTCCTAGCCGCTCTCAACTGCTGTATCCGCTTTTTATCTTGCTCAAATTTGCTCTGCAGCATCATAATTTCTGCAAGGACAGATTATTAATTAGTGCTTTGCTTCAGTATTTGCACTACTTTTAACCAACAAGAATAAATATATCTGATTCTTGAATATAAAATTTTTTGTTGTGAAAACTATGACAAGAAAGTTTATTGGAAACTAAGACCAGAAGCACATGAAAAATGCCATTACATATTTATAATGGGATCATATTATTTCTTCATATATCTACTTTTTTCTTTCTTTTTCAGTTCGGAGGTGGGGAACTATGCAGCATTTGCACCAAAACTGGTGTGGTTTTCAGGTTAACAAAAAATAAACTTCATACGTAAGATTAACATACCATTCCTCTGAGCTTCTTTCCTTTGGAACCGGTAAAAATCTAGCCCGACTTCTGTGCGCTTCTTCTTGGCCACCTTGTCCTCCACAACAGCTTGGGCGACAGACCCTACTGTAATTCCACTCTCAGCATCCGTGGTCTTCTTCCTCCCTTTATGATGTACTACAACTGTCCATCCTCCTTCTGCAGCACGGGCTTCTTTTTCTTTTCTTTCCTGTATGTGCCACAAAAAAGTCAATGAGAATTAAACAGGTAGCCAAATGACGCAGGAACAAAAAAAAGATTGACTAGTTTAAGAACGTGTAATGCACATATATGTGAACTTATACACATTTGATCAATTGGACAGTTCCAATGTAGATACCAATGAATTTAAACAGATGGACCTACACCACTGGCCAATTAAACATAGAAATACATTTTCAGACTACATGAGCATATATGAAGAGAGATCATAGGCAGGAGTATGAGACAAACTTCCATGAAGAAGCACAGATGTGGGCCAAAATTCAAAACAAGTAAACACAGCGGCATACACATGGCAGCTACATTCAGTGTTTATATACTAGTCAATACACATGAAAGTGTTTTTTTTTTTTCATATCTAAATCTTCAAGTATGTGCACGTACATATAATTGAAGTTAGTGTAAGAACAACAGTTATTAAGAGCAAAGGTTCAAACTGCTGGTTTGAATGAAGATACTCCAAGAGTTGTTGTAGCATGGAAGAGGAAAATTACCTGTTCCAATTTTTCATCATGAGCAGTGATAAAGTCATCAATTCTTTGCTGCAGTACCTTCAATCCAGGTCTACTTTGATGGTATTCCGTAACCCATTCTGTGGATTCAGAAACTCTCAATAAGAAAAATAAAATATAAAGCATTCTTATTGCTTCAATTTAAGAAGACAATCCTTGAATGGAAAACTAATATTACACATGTGGACTTTAATAAAATAATTTGAAGTTAATATCCATAGGTTATAAGTGATAGTTGGTTTTAAATTATGAACAGTTGCAGACACCAACAAATATTTTGAAATGAGTAATTCATACTTTTCATTCCTCTCGCACAGTCCTCATCCCCAGAAGAAATAAGGTAAACGTCATCCTGATCAGCTTCTACGTGCCTCTCCAGTGTCTTCTTAGACTTTGATGAATCAACATCCCTCTTTTTCTTTTTCGAAGCTTTCTTGGATATGCCTACATCAACAATTTTGATTATTATTACACGCAGAAAAGCACTAATTGCCACGAAATTGTGTCAACTTGGATAAGAGCAATGTTTCAAATTCAAGAATCATACTTGATATTCCTTTTGAGCAGTTAACCAGATCATCTTCTACTCCCTCTTCAAGTGACTTACTGCACTCTGATGAGACACGTTCCCTCTTTTTCTTTTTCTTAGCTTTCTTTGACTTGCCTACAATAAAATAAAAGCCTCAATGAGCACCTGACCTTTTAAGTATAACTGCAATAAAAGCTCCATCCAGTGACTCTTCGCTCAGATCAAACAAAATTTGTCACTTATTCATACTTTCAAATTTCAGTTCCCATACCAGCCTCAATGAAAACTTCAGCACTTTCATTCTCTTCCTGAGTTTCAAATTGGCTCAGATCTGCAACTCCATCATCTAAGAAAGAGAAGATTATCTTAAACAAGTCAAAAGCAGGAAAGGTTTCTATTGAGGACACTTCAATGGAATCAATGCAAATTCATACAGCTTGATAAAGAAATTGGAAAGCACTGACCTTAGCTTAGAGAAAAATAAAACAATAATACACTCCAATATGTATAAAGCAAAATAACGCACAAACAGGCAAGAGCATTAGCAATTCGAAATTTCTCAATATTCACCCCCAAAAGGGGCAATTTTAAAATACTAGGACACTGATAACAAATTACATCAACTTAAAGAGCAAGTACCAAACATTTAAAGTACAATGCTACATAAATAGTAGCAACTTACCATTTGTTACATCAAAATCATCATCAGTCTCAGTATTTGGGTGATCATGCTTGCTTTCCAAAGCTTTATAGTTCTTCGCTTTCTTCGTCTTCACTTTCTTTGGTGATTTAGTCTTTTTCTTATCTTTGGCTGCTTTGGCTGATTTATCTGAAACAAGAAAATCAAACAGAGAAAAGAGAGTTCATTTCAAATTTAAAGCTCTAACAATTTATTTAAAACATACGAAGCAGAAACCCAATGTACCTTCAATGGAGACATGAACAACCTTTCGAGAGTCACTATTGATTTCCTTCTCCCTTTTTCTCTTTTTCATCTCTATAGGTGACCTTTTATCTGAAAACAAATAAAATTACAGAATAACAACTTGTTTATACTCTTCGCAATAACTATATAAACAGATAAAGCAAAAATTATATAAGCCAATTTCCAGTTATCCAATTGGTTTTTGTCCAAAAAGTTCTACAGTTTTCTAAAGCATGTAGCATCTGTTTTATTTCATTTTTTATAATCTAAAATAGATTTGCTCAACAACGAGGTTGGAGGAATAAACAAGACCACCTCAGAAATTTCAAAATAAATTTAAGCAGACAAAAATTTCGAAAAAGAATTT